GAGAAGTAAATTGCTGAAAATCAAATCAAAATGTTAAGAAAAGATTAGAATTGAATATGAACAGAGAACTTGGTGAAGTCGTTTATGAGGAGATAACTAAGTGATTTAAATTCATAAAATATTGCATCAGCCACGAACGACTTACATGTGAACAAACAAAAGCTTGATTTTGAAACCTTGATTTTTCATCTTGTAGAACGAGGGCAATAACGTAGTAAACATCACAACAGCTAAAAACCTTTTCTCAAATGTGAAACTCATCCTCCAAGTAAATAACTTAAAAGAGAGCAAAATCCAAATTTCATAACCCAATCGGCCATTTTTACAAAGCATACAATGGCCAAGTTTCCCTTCCAAAGGCAATTTTGACGAGAAATCGCAACAAATCACACTTTTCGTGATCGAACACTTATCGGCAGGTCCAAGGAATCTCCCTCCAAATGAATACCATAAAATTGCGAGTCGCCTTCCTTATTAGGAACAAGACGTCCGCCATATTTGGAAAAGAGCTAAACACGCCAATGATTTAGCGGGAAAATGAAACTTGTTTGTCGATGAGGCTTCCTTTTGATTGAATTTGTTAGGATATTTTGATTTCTGATGTACTTGAGTCAATAATTTTCACAATGAAGGCTTTTTATGAAAAGCGTTGGGATGTCACGTTGCAAGATAGTCGATCAAGCTGAGCATTTTTTTGCATAAGCTTAGTTGCTACATAAGCTACATAAGGTTCTTTTTGTTCTTTGATATTTTTGAGAGATTCGCTTTTAATTTATCTTTTCAATTCAAAGCACAAATAAAACGTGCGAATCAAAAAATGGAAATTTCCAGTGTTCTTGGTTAGAATTGAATTTAAAAATTGTTGTACATAATCTTTAATAACGCCTAGTAGAGTTTTTGATTTAGAAAATCTTTACCAGAACATCTTTAAATTCTACAATAAGCCTATATATCGAGTAATATCATTTAACCTGAGCTTTTCTGGCAAAAGAAACACAAACGATTATATGAGCAAATGTTTTGGTCGATTTTGTATTGTTTTTAGACCGAATATTCACTATTAAAAGTAGTCATAAGCCTTGTAATTTTAATACTAACCTCTTCAGGTAGCTTTGCAGGGCCGGGAGCAAAATTGATGGTTTTTCTTCCTTCGTTAGCCATTTGGAACCAGCAGATTTTCAGGTTTTTACCTTAGGCTTGAGTTCAATGCACCTTCGAGTGAAATTCCTCAGTAGAGTGAATTACCATAACTCTTGCACTCAGTCCGATCGATCATCATACGATGGACTCTGGACCCAAGGGAAAACCACTCGCACGTGGAAGGAAACCCATTTCTGAACACTGATTGGTTGAAATTTTCATATGCACATGTGATCACTTAGTGACAGGCCAACATCACTATGACGTCAAAGCTACACAGGAATCCCAATTACTTTGTAGAAAGTTCCAAATCTGACGGAAATGTTAAATTCGTGACGGGAAATTACCAGTAGCATTTTAGAAATTCAATCACACAGATGAATAAATTTTAGCGATCTTTTTACACTGTATTAGTCTCAAAAACATTCTTTATTCAGTAACAACCCGTGCAAATGCAAGACTAAGTTACTGGAATAGAAGACAATGAAAATAGACTGAAATCTCACGAGTTTTATTTAATTTTCCGCATATATTTTACACACAATTGATACTAAACAGAGTAAAAAGGATCGTGAAACTTGTAAACAATTTATTCTTTTGCCCTTTTGGATTGAAAATTCTGAGAATTTGAGAGAGAATTCATTGAGTTCTACTCTAGTTCATTTTGTTTTTATCGTACTTGGCTTTGAAAGAAAATCAAATGTAATCTATCTATCTTTTCAGGGGAGGCAGGAGGGAGAAAGATATATCCCGCCTAAATAGAAAATCCGGAAATCACGTTTTGAAAACTAAAATGAATCTGCACTCGGACCGTTTTCGCTATCTGCGCTATTAAACCTTTACAGTGCGCAAGAACGTCCTAAGCCAAAAAGTATAAGTTATTTTTAAACACAAGACTATCGCATTACCAAGCGCAAGAACAAAAGCAGGAATCTTCAACCCTTGATCTCTTAGTTGTCTCTTGGTTTACCTGGAAAATATCTCACCGCACGATTCGAGTTGCTGGAATATTCTGTGACAGAGCGCTTGTAGAAAAGTCTAAGAGAACAAAGAAAGACGTGGGCTCTGAGATCCCATGGGAGTTGTCCCTTATTTATCTAATTTAAAACCACATATATAGGATAAGATAATACTTATATTTTAAAATACACGGTTGGAGTTGACTCTCAGTATAATAACACCTACATTGAATACTCTCTATTATTGTACATTGATTGTACAAAAACGTTGAGTTGTTCTGAGTTTGAGTATCATTAAATTGGAATTGATGACCTGGGCAATTTGCAAATATTACTTTTAGCAAAAATCAGGGCAATAATTAAAATCAAGACTACGAACGCATTATCGTTTGCAAAACAAATTAGAGTGGTTTTCATAAACTTTCGTGAAACACACTTTAGTGTATTTATTGCCATTACACTTGGCGCAAAAAAAAGACACTCACCCCCCCCCCCCCCCCCCCCCTCTCTCTAGAAGAGAAAAATTCAAGCTTAGCTTCATGTAGAGGAATTCGGCTGAAATATTCAAAAAAATCAAGAGGTAAAGTACAAGTTACTTCTCCTCTGTTTGGTGGACAGTAATGTCTAGAAACTCAACTAAATCAACCGAAGTTACGTCAGGGAATTATTGTGCTACCATCTACTAAGCGAGAAATTCACGATTTGATATTACCACACAGTTGTTCAAAGTACTGACGACGAAAATATTTAGTTGGAGGGTTGAAGGAGTGGTCACAAATAGTCTGTGTTTCTTGTGGAGAGTAATAATAAATTCGCGGAAAAAAATTCACAAACGTTCGAATCGTTTTTGTTGGTTTGCCAAAACAGTCAGACAGATTATGGGTTATCAGAAAAGTGAGTTATGGGCGAAATCTTCACATTTTAATCGATATGATCAAGAATAATTTCTAAACTGCAAGGATTGCTGTTGTTTTACATTGGTTCCTCTTTGAAGACCCCGAGATAAACTTCTAACGTCAACCCGCTGTAGTTCAGAAATTGTGATGTAACACTGGAAAAAATCGCGCGCTTTAAAGGTTGTAAATTTGATGTAAATATGATGTAAGTGTCCAAAATTCTGTAAATTTACAATGGAAATCATTTTCATCAAATTTACAGAATTTTGGACACTTACATCATATTTACATCAAATTTACAACCTTTAAAGCGCGCGATTTTTTCCAGTGTAAGAGAGTCAGGAGGAGCCGGCGGGGTCTGTTCTTCTAAATAACAGTTCTTGTACGATTTTTTTCCTGGGAAAGGGATTTTGATTTGCATTGTTGACAATCTCACAATCAAATGTGGCGACCTTCCTTCTTAAAATAATACTGTTCCTTTCAAACGTTTTTAATGTCAAAATTTTAGAAATGAAAAATTTTTTCCTGCCAAAAATTTCTCGCTTGCAACCAGTTGTGACTTTCACCTGGCTGGGACATAAGAACAGATATATTTCTCCCAGCAACCCGTCGGCTCCTCCTAAAGAGTAGTAAATTAATTAAGTGAGGTTTTCTCTTTGTACTCAGTTCTTTTTAAAGTTTCATTCATATGATAATATCATCACTTTCTTTAGAAAGTTCTGACTTCATAGAATTCTTTTCAATTTTTCAGTTGTTGAAGGGGGTGTATAGATTCAGCCTTCTCTCTCTACATTTGTATTGTGATATTACACATATGATTTATAGTACAAAATACAAATCACATCACGTTGAAGATATACCAATGACTTTATATAGGAAATTCGGTATAGTTTTGTGTATTATTTTATATAGCGTCGTCCCCTGTGAATCTATTGTCTACCATTCTAAGTGTCTACCATTCCTTTGCAATGCCGACATGTGCAAGATAGAGCAAATCACATAAGCATGAAACAATTCTTAACTATGTAGTGCTAAAATAAGATTTAGTTATCAGCTAACTAAGAATTGAGAACAATGCTACAAAGGAATTTAAATAATTGGCATTGTGTTTATTTTTTTTTGAATTCCTAGTTAGTTGATAACTAAATCTTATTTCTGAACATTTTGTATGTTAGAATTTGCCATTGAGCTGATCATGAAATTCTAGGTTGTTAGCCCGCTGCGTGCAGCCGAACCAAAACTTGGTTCGGCTGCACGCATGCTACTAGGTTGTAAGAAGTTTATAATTACAACTACAAATTCCCATACATTTATGGTCTGAAAATGAAAATTCGCTTGGATCAAAAGCCTTCTGTGTAGGCACGCCTGATGCATAATTTATTGGATAAAAATCAGAACAAAGGCTGTAAAAAGCCACAGTTTCTTCTGAATATCAAAAGAAGCCGGATTGCCGATACATGACTTTGAATCATGTACGAAAACATGTTTCGTTTCTGTTAAATTAGTTTTTTGAACTTGAAAGCCAATCAAGAGAGTATTTCATAAAAAGTTATGGTCAATGTTTGAAATTTGCCTTATTTATCTATATTTTCTTTTGTCGATTGTCATGTTAAATCATGGTCAATGACATTGTACAAAAACATTTCCAAATTTGGTTTGGATTCGCCAGATGTTATTGAATATAGAAGTTTTTTCTTACATTTTGGGACAAACTAACGAATCACGGACAGCTGGTTTATGCCTGTTTCTATTGGTGGATTTGTTTTGTAGGAGTGGCCATCACAGCATCTATATCCACGTCAAGACGCATATAGAAGTCAGTCGAACTGAAGAACAGGAAAGAAGTCGATCAAACACACTTAATGATTACTACAGCTTAGTACTTTATAGATCAAGACATCAAACTTTCTTTTGAAAGGTAAGGCAAGCAAATAATTTTGAATTATACTTTTATCTGCTTTCTGCTGTTCCTGAGTTTGTTTTTTAAGGAACTCACTGCAAGTGTTATTCTGTGTTATGGAACTGACATGCATATTTTCATCGTTTTTCCTCACTTATACCAATACACTATAATAGAAGATCCAAGTAAAATAAAAAGCCGACTAGCCGTATACACCCTTTTAATAAGTCCCGAGGTATTGTGTTCTCCGCACTTGACGTCAAATTTATTCTTTTGAAATTTTTACAATACAAAAGGAATTCAAAAGAATAAATTTGACGTCAAGTGCGGAGAACACAATACCTTGGGACTTATTAAAAGGGTGTATAGTAACTGTAATTATCACGTCGATCACTGAACTTGTAAGATTAATCTAAAATTCAAAGCATAATTATCTTAAAGATGTTTTCATCAGGTCGAGCTTGCTCGCCATGACCCTTTCTGGCCAACTATCCCTATCGCTCATAGCGGTGGTAGCCAGTTCGTCAGTCCTACATCCCGTATTGTCGGATAATTGGTTGATGTAGGTCCTCTTCGATGAAGTTTTGCAATTCTATATATAAGCTAAAGATATTTATTCATACTTTCTTTGATGTTTTTCTTTTCTTTTTCTCAATCTTATCTTTTTTTCTTTTCAAACATATGAATGATATCTTGAAATTTGTCGGACTTGGACCTTAAAGGAGTTTCTAAACTTCAAACATTGTGTTTTCTGTGTGTCAAAGGAGGGGTAAAAGTTGAAATTATTTTGACGTCCTACAATATGAAATATGAATGATAGATAATGATCTATATTTATTATTGTTACAGGGAAATTAAGATGGCCTCTAAATTGCCAATTATTACAAAAGAAAATAGCAACTTTTTTCGATTGTGCAAGCTACTGATCGATGGAGGAACCCATGCCCTTAAAGTCATTTTTGATGGTAAACATCCACCTCACGATCTGAAGAAGCATTTGAGCGACAGCAAGAGGCATAATATCTTAAAGAATTTGAAGGCTAAAAAACTTCTACGACCAGAGCAGTGGAAAAAACTGTACCCAAGTGTAGGATCAGCCACATCTGCAGGTTTTGACATAACTCTTTTAAGTTTGCTGTTGCGCAATATCTGCAATTTGCCAACACCTGCCAATGGATGGGACAAGGAGCCTGCAGCAACCAGTGTTAACGAGGAAGATGATGTAGTAAGGCTGAGATTATACCGTAATAATCTCTATGGTCACATCTCTGAACCAGCTCTATCAGATGCTGATTTCAACAAGTACTGGAACGACATTGAAACTGTTTTGTTAAGACATGGTGTAGACAAGACAGCCATTGATAGTCTTAAGACACAATCCTTCGAACCAGAAGATGAAGACTACTACATCAAATGCTTAAAAGAATGGATCACTGATGAGGCTGATAGAGTAATCAATGCAGTAAAGAGGGTGCTTGAAGAAATTGAAAACGTAAAGGACAAGCTGGACGAACTAAAACTGGAGCCTTCAAAACCGCCGGCTACAGATGAAGGTATGATAAAACATTGTAACCACAGCGAGCCAATATATTGTGAGCGTCAAAATCAAATTAAAATGTGAGAGGAAAAAAATCGTATTTAAGTAATTTTTACAAAGATTCGTCCATTTTATCGATTGAATTGCTACTCTACTGCTAAATAGCCGAGTGCAAAAAGTACTTTTTTTTGGTAAAGAATAATAAAGTGTTAATGTATTTCACAGATGTGAGAGTAAAGTCATTTAACCTGTGACACAAAAATTGACTATGAAAGTTTAAAAGTCAAATAGACACAAAAGAAAACAATATTGATTTAGAGCGTAAGGTGTATTGGTGTAATATCTTTTTCATGTGTATAATTTTTTTACTTCCTTGTGAAAACTATTCTAAAAAAGAGCGCAAATAATAAATCACTTTATCACATAATTATCTATGAAATACCAATATTTTAAATATAAATTATCTATGAAATACCAATATTTTTAATATAATTATCTATGAAATACCAATATTTTTAATTTAATTATCTATGAAATACCTATATTTTTAATATAATTTATCTATGAAATACCCATATTTTTAATATGATTTCTTGAAATACTTATATTGCGGTCTACTAAACGTTGTCTCAAAAGTTCAAATTAATAGAGTTCTCGTTTTTCTTCTTCTTAGATATGAAATTATACTCCGAAAATCTCAAGAAAACCATAATAAAGCAAACAGAACTAAACCTACAGCCGAAAGAAATAAAACAAGAAATGAAAACTGATGATATTTTTACGAACTTGATTGTTCATCACGGGGAAAAAAGGCGCCCAGAATCCGGCTTGCCAGAACAAATTCAAAGTCCTCAAAAAGGTTACCCTGGACGTAAAACACTGACCGAAATCAAGCAATGTAGTAAGATTTTTGTCGACGAGGACGAAAAAGACACAACCGCCAAGAGAATATTACTTTCAGGTGAACCAGGCGTAGGGAAAACACTGTTCTCGCAGAAACTTCTTCGGGATTTGGCTACAAATTCCATATCGATCCCTGGCATTACGTTTACTTACCTTCTAACGTTTAGACAATTGAACAACTTGCCAAACGAAACGTTGGACCTCAGAGAACTGCTGAATCTTTCCCCTCTATTAAACGATGAAACCATGATAGACGAGAATGTGATGGAATACATTCTTCAGCATTCAGAGCAGTTATTGATTGTTCTCGATGGCTTTGACGAATATAAAGACAGCAACAAAATACTCGGAGATTTTGAAAGTCAATTTCCTAATGATAGTAAAACCAAGAAGCCAGTAGCAGCTCTTCTAAGCAAACTAATCAGAAAACAAATCTTGCAAGATGCTGTCATCATGATTACCTCTAGGCTGGGCGAAGCCATCGACTTGACCCAAAAATTTTACTTTGATCGCTATGTCGAAATATCAGGTTTTTCAGAATCGCAGGTTATAGAGTATGTCGAGAAATATTTCAGTACAAAACCAGAAGAAGTAAAAAACTTGGCACTTAGAAAGGTTAAAGAAAGCGTGCACTACATTTCTTTTGGTCGCGTCCCTTTCCGTTGTTTGCTGATGTGTATTGTCATCGAGTGGAAAATAAAAAAACACGATGATTCATGTCCTCTCACGCTTACAGAGTTATTTTGTGAAGTAATTCAATGCATAGAAGAGACTGATTACAACAGAGCTGCAGATGACAAAGCCTCTTCAGTGCGAATTGACAAAACCCTCGATAATTTTTCAAAGTTAGCGGCACAGTTAGCTAAAGATAATCGATTTAGTTTTACCTTGCAAGACTTAGAAAATCTAGGATTAACAAAAAATGAATCATTGCACATGAAATCTAGCAGTCTTATTATATTTTGTTATCCTGTTTCTCATAATTCGCCATTTAAAAAGCCAGCCTGTGAATATAGCTTCACGCACTTCACTATTCAAGAGTTTTTTGTTGCTCGGTATTTGGTGGAGAAAGGTGAAATGCCGGGAGACAAAACCGGCACTGAAATGGTGTACATTTTTATGAGCGGTTTGTTAGGTTCACGTAAATTGAAGAATAAGGAATTAATGGAAAAACTACTAGAGTGTTTAGGCAAACATATTAGAGATAAAGATAGACTGAGACTGGTGTCATTAAGATGCTTACATGAGTTTGGTGAGGAAAGTTTGACAGGTGAACAACTGACTGCAAACCGTGACAGCAGATACTGGCGTACTTATGTGAGGATTGAATTACATGGTGTAACCGACACTGACTGTGATGCAATCGCTAAGTTAGCAGAATCCACTGCTACATCGTCATCAACAGCACGCGCATTGAGTATTGTCAACTCTTCCATAACTGTTGGTGGGTTAGAGAAATTGCTGAGATCTCTTCATGATTCAATCGACATCGCTGCACTGATACTTTGGGGCTGTGGTTTGGACGATGAATGCGCAAAGTGGTTGAGTACTGAATATTTTCATGGAAACACAAAGATAACCGAGCTAGACCTGTCCGCTAATGAAATATCCAATGACGGAGTGATTGATATCATGGAAAACTTGCCCAGTAATCTCACCGTGCTATACCTGTCTTGGAATAAGATATCTGATAAGGGAGTGGAACATATCATGGAACACTTTCCCAATCAACTGACCAAGCTACACCTTGGCAGTAACAACATATCTGATGAATGCAAAAAGAAAATGAAACAAATTTGTAAGAAAGAAAATCCTGATCTTAGGTTAGACATAAGATAATTCAATGTTTGTTGAATAGTTGTAATGATTTCATTACTGCAGCATTGTAAACCAACCAACAAAAATCACATCAAATTTTTTCTATCATTTTTTAGTTTTCCACAATATATACATATTCTTTTGCAAGAATGAGCTTTAATGTTTCAAAATGTATATTCTGTATTCTGTATGATAGTTTTCAGTGACATTTTGTAGGTGGTAGCATTTTCAGTTTCACAGTTTCAGTAAAGCTGAATGAGAGGACATGAAAGACTTTCTTATTGGTTAATATTAGTTCTTGGGTTTGGAAAGTTAGAATAATAATCTTAATTATCCATTTTAATAAACTGCACATAGTTAGAATCATAGCCCAATATATAGTGTTTGCAATTTCATGATATTCTGGCAATAAAATTTCAACTAGCATGAATGAATTAGTTTGATATATTTTTTTCTTCTTTTTAATGAGTCTGGTAAAATTATAAAGAAAAGAAAATACAGTGTTTTGTGTGTGACCAACCCCCTCCCCCCTCCCTAGAGGGGAATCCAAGAAGAGAAATCAAGAAGTGAAGGCGAGTTAATTCTCCTTTGTTTGGTCGGGAGTAAGGTATATAAACTCAAATATATAACTCGACCAAAACTATGTCATGGAATTATTGTGCTACCATCCAAGCAAGAAATTCCCGATTTGATGATTACCACAAAGGTGTTCAAAATAACGATGAGAAAATCTAATTGAAGGAATGGTCACAAACAAGAGAAAATGAGGTCATTTTCTCTTGTCACAAAAAGTCTGTGTTTTCCTGTGGAGACTAATAATAGGATCGTGGAACGTATTTCACAGATGTTCACAATCGTTTCTTTTAGTTTGCCAAACATTTAGGCTAAATATAGGTCATCAGAAAAGTGAGTTATTATCTTTACATTTTTAACGTAATGTTTAAAGTCCGACAATGAGGACTGGATTGGATTTGAAGTCCGCGCAATTAGTTCCAGTCCATTAGTACAGCTTACATTTTGGTCAACTCACACAACACAAACAGCCCCTTGCTACCCTGATTCAAGACTATGCCTTCCTGTGTCCTCCGAGAGAAGTACAGACAGCTAAAAAAAAAAAAATAATGTAAAAACGTCCACCTAATTACGAGTCCATTTCCCCAGAAAACAAAAATAATGCAGCGCTAGAGGACCTCTTTTGCACTGCTGATGTGTGACTTGATTGCCACCAGCAAACGCCCGCGACTTCATGATCTGTGCACGTATCCGAAGTGACTCAAGGAATGTTAATAGAGAGACTTCCACCATGGGTCTTGAATACTACTAGAATGAACGCATATGATAATATGTAGAAATAAAGGAAATTATAGTGCTTGAAAAATGGTTGATCGTGGTTATTCCCGGAGAAAGACCCTTGTTGGAAATATAAATTCGGAATATTTACGACCTCCCTGGGATTCGAACCCATGACCCTCTGATTTGTACTACCGTTGGAGCTGAACGCGTTTTCGGACTGCTTTACACTTCACTTTCCACGAATCATCATACTGACACATTTTTGTGCCCTTAGAAAAGTTTAGAAATGTAAATTATCAAAATCCTTGCGCTTTCGGGCAAAATATATACATGTATATAAAAAATTGTACTTAATGACTTTAATAATGAACCAATCAAGTCTTTAAGTGCAATTTTATTTTATGCAATGCTCCTTGACAAAGTTGAGCAACATATAAAAAATTGAATACAATACTGGAACACGTACTTACAAAAACGTTGTTCAGAAAAAGAATTGGTTTTAAGAATTAATTACAAATACAAAAGAAATTGTTCATCTTTATTGGTCACCTTCCTTCTCTGACGTCCCTGAGTACTTTATGCACTAGTCAATTGAAACCCCCGGCCCCCGGGGAATGCCGGAGAATTTAACGTTTAAGTGGTGTTAAAATGAAACATTTCCCCCGGTAGTCGGGGGGAGGGGGGCATTTATTGTTAAAATGCCCGCTACTCTCACTCCGCTATTTTGGTGAGTAGTAAATAAATAACAAAACAAACACCTTTCAATCAAATTTTCTGTGATACCTGAGCGTTCAGCTATTGCACAATCCTGTGTACTCATTTGCGTACTACATGGGGCTAACTAACTGCAAGGATAAAAACATGGTGTAAATAGTTTCTTTAAAAACATTTTTCATGAAATAAAAAATAAACAGTGCCCGCTAGCCCAGTGGGTAGGGCGGCGGGGGTTTCAATTGACTAGTGCATTACTCGATACTTACAGTGAAACCAGGTCAAACGTACCCCTAGTACCCCCAAAAGTCCATTCTTGTTTTCATTATTCAATAATGCATTTCGTTTGAAAATATGTCGACCAATATTCAAACAATTATTCGATTGTTGATTGGATTAAAGAAACTTTAAATAAAACTTTTAGAGCGTTTTTTTTAGGTGTGTCTTGTTGTTTTTGTCGTGATTTATTGAAGTAATTTCTCGCAATATTGTTTTTCTTTGATCCAATCAACAATGTAATAATGGTTTGAATATTAATGACTCAATTTTCAAATAATTAGTCGGGCTAGCCATAGGCTTTACACCAAGATATCTGATAATCAAATGCATTGCGCTATTTATTTTGAATTTATCTGAAAGAGTCGCCTTTGGAGATTCCTCTAAATAAAATAAGCTGGTCCATGTACAAAAAACGGGATAAATATAGGTTAATAGGTTCTTTCCTTTAAACATTGCATCAAAAATTGTTAAATTATAAAGTGTTGTTTATACGACCTTTTTAAATCTCACGAAATTTGCATATTTTGAATGAGCTACACGCTTTTTTTTTAAATTGCCTCCTGGATCGATATTTCTAGTGTTTTGATGTCGTTGCGCCAAGCCACCAGAAAAGAATATCGCCGTGCGTGAATAAACAAACTAGGTAAGGTATTCTACGCCATAACTTAGAGTCATCACATTTGTACCGTGAATTACGATCAAAATTAACAGTAAATATTAGTGTCTATTTCATATAATAATAGTAGATATCACTGAACCAGAACAATTCATGAAAACAAAAGGCAATACACAAGAGACTTGACAACTGCCATCTTTATTTCATGTACAATCAAGACAAAAGACACATCTAAAGCTAAAATAACCACACAATACGCAAGGAAACGCGTTTAACGAATCTTTATTTATTTGCGCTGCCGTAAAATCAATACAAAAGACACATCTAAAGCTAAAATAACCACACAATACGCAAGGAAACGCGTTTAACGAATCTTTATTTATTTGCGCTGCTGTAGAATCAAGACACAAGACATATCTAAAGTAAAATAATCACACAAGACGAAATGAAACGCGTTTGGAGTCTTTATTCTCTGCGCCGCAGCAAAATTATAACAGAAGACATTGTAAGGCTAAATTGAAAATACTGTAATATCAAACCCAGTACGCAAATGAACGTGTTTTCTAACGAGTTTATTATAAGAGCCTAAACTAAAAATCAAGACAAGACACACTGAAATAACGCGAAAAAATCTATAAACAACGTGGTTTCGAACGAATTCTATCGCTCAAAGAAGAGTTATTTGACTAGTCACTATAAAAAAGCGACTTGACAACAACCAGCGGCGACGTTTTGATATTTATCCTTTGCTTTAAGCTCAAAATAAAACACAAGAAATTGTATTAATCACTTCAATGTTTATGAGATACGTACCTTTTTACATTGTAGCATGGGACATTAGTTAGCAAATCATTATTTTCAGCAGCACTCGTAACAGTTATAAAGTTAGTTATTATACTANGGGGAAATTAACATTTGGCAATTGTTAAAGTAACGTGTTTTCCCCAGCCCTCGGGGGTGAAACAGCTGTTAAATGCCCGGCCCTGGGAGCCCCGCCCTATTAGGACATTCATGACCTCATGGAGACAGAAATAACCAATCAGCAATATTTATTCTCGAGAAAGACAAACTTTATTAACTGTTAATTTATGTTTTCGCACAAGATGGGCAGAACCATTTTCCATTGGGTGGATCTGGGTAAGAACCTTGGATACATTGAAGATGATACCAAATTATTTTCAATTTGGCTTTATCTGTAAGGTGTAATTTTGATCCATTTTCAAGTCGTAAATATACTCTTCCCACTCTTTGTCATATTTTTGGAATGCAATATAACATTCTCTCGCGATTTCAAACACCTCTTTTACGTGATCAATAGTCAATAACCGGATGGGAATTTTCTTTTTCTTTTTTGAAACTCCAAACTCACACAGCACCTACAAAAAAGTCATGTGTATAATAAACGTAAAAACAAAAGTAAAAAAGCCAACAAATAGTAAAAAAAATAAACAAGTTCATTAATTGTTTACTTTAAAACACATAAAAATGTTTAAAAACTTCTAAAAAGTGTACGTTTCACCGTACCTTATGTTCGCATGCAGCCATTTTGGATGCATGACACTCTTGTTTCCAGGCTCACTCATTTTTCACGATCCTCGGCCCAGTCTCCGGCCAGTGTTAATGTCCCCGGTAAAATCCCGGCTATTTTTAAAATCTGTTAATTCCCCTGCCCCACCGTGGATTCATGCTGTTAAAACAGCGTTAAATCCCCGGCTAAAATGTGTTAATTCCCCGGCCCTCCCCGGGGGTTGGGGGGCCGGGGTTTCAATTGACTGATGCATAACAGTTATAAAGTTAGTTACTATAGCTATCTATTTCACTTTCACCCTATAATCAATAATAGGGTAATTCAGCTTTTTATGTCCTTTCAATGAACTCGATTTCCATGAAGCCTATATTTAACACAAGTTCTAGCCCTTCCCGACATCTTTCCTCTGGGTTTAACAAAGAACGAAACTAGCTCTTTATTTCTTTCCTTGTGGGTGGGACATCAGTTTTTAACAAATTCCTCCTTCTTCATTAGGTAGGTTTTAATAACATTGTTTGAATTCCAAGTCTCTTGTGTATTACCTTTTGTTTTTAAGAATTGTTTTGGTTCAGTGATAGCGGAGCTCCCGCGCGGGCCAAGGGCCCGCGCGAGCGGAGCACCATAACTAAGGAAAAATGGTAAACCCATGGTGGAGCTGAGTTTTGATCAACCGACACAGGAAGCCCAGTTGTCCTTCCGTACATACATACATACATACGTACGTACCGTGTACATCGCGATTCTGATTGGCTAGCTTTTGACAAGGCGGGAAAAAGAAGCGCGCTCGCGTCAACTTTTGAAACAACTTTTCTCACCTCAACGAAATTTGTTTCTTACTTCTGCGCCAAAAATGTCGGTAAAACAACGCTTACGCTTTTTATCGAAACAAGAAAAGACAAGAAGAAGAGAAAGAGAACGTCGAAGAGGTCTTAGTGACGAATAACGCAGGCTTGAAAGGGAGAGAAAACGCGAGTATAGACGAAAC